GCCCACTTACAGCTAGATTAACTAGATTAAAAGGTACATTTATCTAGCTGCATGCTGGTTGAAATTGTGTACTAGCTGAAACGGCCACAACATGGGCCAATTAATCGAGCAATGAATTGCGCGATTAATCGATAGCAACTAGTTGTACCCAATTGAAACTAGCTTCAATCTAGCTGAAGCTAGATGAAATTTTCATGTATTTCTGTGCAGCTAGCTAAAGCTAGATAAATGTACCTTTTAATCTAGATGCAGCACCCGCTTCATGATTTTTTTTCGTGCTTGAGTCATATCGATCGGTAATATCAAATGTCACTGACTTTCAGAAATGGGCGAGTCACCACTTTTTCGCGTCTGAGTCGAGTCCGTAGCCTTCGAGTCAAGTTCTGAGTCGCATCAAAAATTGTGACTTTGAGTTATTTTCTGCAGGAATACTTCCTCCTGATTCGTTTTTCCAAGAACAGTTCTTCAATCCTCTCATGTGAAGCGATCTTCTACTTAGAATATTCTCAAATCTCTCTTCTGTTACTTAACAAATATAATAAATACCATCATAACAATCCCAAGTTGCACATGACTGACTCGTAAGTGACTCGAGTCAGTTTATCAAGTTTATCGAGTCTTTCACCTCGAGTCCAAGTCAAACTGAAATGCGACTCGGACTCGCCCATCTCTGCTGACTTTCGAACTTCTCCATACAATTGAACTTGAAATCTTTTGACGTTATACAAGCTTTATCGAAGGGTGAAGGCTTCAAAAAGAAACTCAATAGAAATCTTATACTGTGATGTAATAATATGATAACATTCTAGGTCAGGGTACATGTAGTAGAAAGTGAACTAAGCGGGATTTATCCTTCTCGGCAATGCGATATAGAACTCTGAACAACTTCAGTTATTGGTTCTTAGAAAAGTCCAAAGTCCTTCTTCATTATTTAGATCAACACTAAGTTAGAGTGAACCTCGAGGGAACCTCCCGAGGTGATAAATCGCTTTTTGATCGACATCTAGCGGGTTATAGGTTATCGACCATGCTGATTCCGAATATGACCACGGGACTTCCCCCCATAGCTCTTCGAAGATCCAGTCTTCTGGAAAACCAGTTTTTCAGAAATCCCAAAAAATAACCCAAGCATTTCTTAATAATGCAGGATTGTAGCCCGCAAATTGCTGATTAAAATGGAACATGCCCCAGCTCTACACGATCTTTCTTTGCAAAGTTATAGAATGTATAAGAAGAGCCCTAAGTTAATTTTTTCCTTCTTATTTCTGTAGCTTTGAGCTCACAATGAACATTTAGGGCTCTTATAAATTCTATAACTTTGCAAAGAAAGGTCGTGTAGAGCTGGGGAATGTTTCATTTTAATCAGAAACTTGCGCGCTACAATCCTGAATTGTTAAGAAAGGCTTGGATAAGTTTTGGGGGTTTCTGAAAACTGGTTTTCCAGAAGACTGGATCGTCGAAGAGCTATGGAGAAGCCCCATGATCATATTCAGAATCAGCGTGGTCGATAACCTATAACCCACTAGATGTCGATCAAAAAGCGATTTATCACCTCGGGAGGTTCCCTCGTCAGATACAAAAGTTTGAGTGTATAGTATTGATCTTGTGACTAAGATCTTTACAATGGTCTCTGCAGAAACTTTTTCTTTGAGTTTTTTTTGTTTTAATCATTACTGTTTATTTTGTTTGGTAAAAAATACTATGTAGACTGCATACACGTGCTACATGCAACAAACTAAATATATTTTACATAATCGCTGAAAAAATTTAAATTCCATGTCTTCTGCTGCTGTGATCACGTATGAAAAACCTATACGGTTGTTTTCAGAAGTTTTTAGATAAATATTCTGCCAAACTGTCTAATGTTATATGTTTCTTTGATGACAAATATCATCTTAGATTTCTCATTGATGGAGCATATTTTATATATCAATCTAATAGAGAAATTCTCACAGCTTGTTCGTTTGAAAACTGGGTGCAGATTCGAGCTCTCCATAGTCGGTTACCTTGTCTACTCGATAATATCAGAAAACTTGACCATGTCGTTTTTCGTTCTGCTCAAGATTTTAACTGATCGAAGTTTTATAGCTAATTAAGAAAAAATAAGACAAGACATAAAAGACGACATTTGATGCAACTCCGCACATTAAATACACCAAATTTATAATTGTAAACCATACCAGACATTTTACTCCACTCCAAATGACGCGATACTCAAGGCAAAGTTATTTCTCTAAATTATTCACCAGACTCATTCAGAAGATGCATCTGTCTCATGATTAACTAAGCCGTTTAGACAGAGTTATTTTCTCTTATGTGCTCTCGTTAAAAAAAAGAGAATTATAATGATTTATCAAATTTAAATAAAATCAAGGATATTGTTTGAACATAAAAGGATTAACAATAAGTTCAAGTTAAGAATAATTTAATTGTTCATGGGAGGATGACATAATGAGTGCTTTTTATTTTTCAAAAAGAAAAAGGTGATAAGTTAAACTGATTGAGCAAAAAGAAGCTTGATCATATTCATATGCGCCAGACGAAACAAATAGTCACTATATAAGAAGAGTGTTAAAAAGAAATACTCTTCATTTTACTGTCTAATTAAATAACTTCAAAATCATGTCCAAAAATATTCGACAAGTAGGTGTATCTACAGTTATTTTGCTAGTGCAAAGCAACTAATCTCTTGCCTTTTTAGAGACTAATTAATGCAATTTATGGTGGACGAAACAAACAAAATGAAACATTGAAAAAACCGAACAGTAAGTCGGATACAAGCAGTGAATAAAGTCATATATTATCGATGTCATTTAGACCAATCGGAGAGAAATTATCCTTTTAACGAGAAGAGAAACGTTTCAGCTGTTGTTCTTAAAATTATCTTATTAAGAAATGAAAAATAATTTTTAATCTATCTTTCTTTCTTCGCACTCATTAATACTCTATATTTTCCATTTAGAAATTGCATGTTGTTCCATTCGAAAACCAGACGACTATGAATATATTGCTTATGAACCAGTTCAAAGAAGCTCAAAAAAGAATTCGGATGATTATGTAAGTAGCATAAATGATGTTATATTTAAGTTTGACCCGCTTTAAAATCGTTAGGAGATTCGAGAATAATTATTCAGGTGTCTAGTTAGAACCGTGCCCTTTTTCAAGCCATTACTGTCTATTTTAAACGGTAGTAGACATACACGAAAACGTAGCTTATCAATCACGTTAAGTCTCGTAGCGGTGTTTGTTCTCAAAAATAAACTAAAAATCTAGCGAAATTTTATCTAAGCAAAATTTTTCATTCTTATCGTCTTTTACGCGAAATATGATACTCATAACTCACTGACAAAGTCGATTGAAGCTTGAAAATCATTTTGGAACACGTAAGGTTAATAAGTTGATATTGCACGTCTATCCGACGAAATCTTCGATTATTTTTCAATCTCGATTGCGCAGAAATGGAAAAGACTGCGCAGAGAGTCAGTTTTCATTATGGGAGTGACAAGATAGAAAAGTTTCTTCCTCAGCTCTTCTCTTCGGTTGATCGCCTACTTGTGTAGAAAATATAAAACAGAGAAGAAAATCAGTAATGCAAGGAACATTCACATAAACGTATTCTTCTGGAAAGAATCTAAGCTTAACATTTTATTTGAGTGTACCAACAGAGAAGCATTTGTCATTGATTGATCGTACTAAAACGGTTGGTAAGGTCATTTGACATTCCGATAAAGAGACGGAAAATTACTTTAACTTTAAATAACTTTAAGACTTCTCTTTATGTCTCTCTGATAAAAAGTTCATGATGCTATTGCTTTGACCGGGACATTAAAGAGAAAAAAAATTAATTCATCCCTTTTTTCAGGTCGAGTTACGTGATTGTCATTCGAATTACGGTTCATCGACTCAAATTCCATTTTCGTTTTCAGCCGATTCTGGCATATGCGATTCTGAATGTTATGATGTAAATATATCCTCAATAACAACGACAAATATAAAGGGTAAATTAGAATCAACAGCGAAAAGTGAGAATTATGAATATTATTATCCATCAACAATTTCTGATTTAAGTTCAATTCCACCACAACAGTTAAATTTATCTAATTTTCATATAACATCCAATTTTAGTACAAGATCATGTTCAGAATGTGATGATCTATCGTCAATCGTGTCGTATAATTCTTCATCTTCGGACAGGAAAGAAATTCATTACAATCAGCAACTAGCACAATTTATTAATTATCGAACGACTGCATCTAATATAAAAATTTATCCAGATATCATCTAATTAAAACTTTTCTTTTTTTAGTATTGCTATTTAAACACTTGCATCTATTATCTGTTCAATAAATGTAATCTAAGGATACTCACGTTTGTATTTCAGTAAAATAAGTTAATTATAGCTACGCTCTGCATTCAACATCCGTATTCAAACGGAACGTTCTTTAATCTTCGAACATAATAAATAGATCTAAAATATGTTGTCTAGTACATTATATAACTTCGAAGGACACTGACATAAGGACAAATATTACCAACAAAACAACACCAATACAGAAAAAGAATATCCAAATAATTTCATAAAAATAAAGAGCATTATGAATAACAAGATTAAAAGATATGAGATGAAATAAGAGACCAACAATAGTAAAATACTGTTTTTACTTGATAATAATTTATGTCTAACTTAGGCTCCATGGGAACAATATGAACCATCGTTTTTATGCTGGTATTTCTTCAATATCGACGACTAAATCTTTATAAAATTCTAGAATTTGTTTTTTAGCATCATTCACATGTTTTCGATCACCAGTCAATATCCATTCACCTCTAAATGAATAAAATCGCGATTTATGATTTAATTTCAAGAGTATTTTAAATAAATTTTATTCTTCGGTTACTACGTAGGATAAAGGAGTGATCAGTTAAAGCACTCAATCTACTTTGATAATGTCGCATACCTGATGTGATCATGTCCAGCATTAGTTATTCCTGGTTGTATTGTCCACGTTTTGGGTATTTGTATTGTTTCATATTGTAATTTGTAATCTCGATATTTCTGATATTGAACGCCATCAAAATTATACTGAACTCTAAGTTGAGCTTGTTCATCTTTGATACCATTATACCATTGTTCAATGTCTTTTACCGTTGTTTCACCTAATTTAAATTCTTTTGATTTTCCAGATGTACCAGTAACATGAACATAGAGAAATTTTTCTAATGGATCATAAATATATTCTAAATTACGTGTACACATTCGTTCTGGTAATTCACCATAGTTTCTAACAATAAATTTATCTTGTGGATGCATTTCAATTGTCGATACGTAATCTTTACCCAGTTCGTTAAGAACATACTCATACATCATCATAACATTACGAGTATGTTGAGTTATTATAAAAGGAATGGTTAAATAACCACTACCTGATCTATCGGGATTTTTCAATAATGTACCATCATCCAAAACAAAATCTAAATAAAAAAAAAGAGATTCTTGAGATAGTTAATTAAGAGATGTCCTAATTGTATGTAAAACAAGAAAACTTACAACATTCTGAAGCTCGATATTTTGCCCATGATAATACATCGCCGGGAGATACATCCCAGTCAGCCGGAATTACCGTTGGTACATCTTTGTATTCGTGGCTGGGTACTAATTGTCCATTTGTTCTTTTCAATGTATCAGATTTACCGACTAAATCAAAATAACGCGCCGTTCTTTCACCAATTAACGACATTATTAGGAAAAAATTAAGTTCAAAGTCTACTATATCTGAAAAAAACAACGTGATGCCAAACGATGCCACTATAAAATTACTCAAAGACACGTCGATCGGGAGGCTAAAAACTCAAAAAGGGACCATATTCATCAAACTACTGTCATCAACTACGTCTCAAACATAAATGTATTTTACTTCCCTTTCTTTGTGCTTCTCTACTAATCAAATAAGCTTCTCATCGACTTTTATTTTTTTAATTCAGTTGACTTTGTTAGAAGATCAAAATATTTTGCCTGATACGCTTGTTATTATTATTTCTAGGTGGAAGTAAAGGAAAAAAATGGGATGAGAAATACACCACATGAATGCAAAAAGAAAAAACGTATCATTTTACAAATTCAAATGGCTAGATAAAATGAAAAACGTGTGCATGTGTGTCGTCAGCCTTGGGTATAACACTGTTTAGAAAATATGCATTTATGATTTCGTACCGGGCTTGGGCGAGTCCGAGTCTGGACTCGAACTCGGACTGGAGATTTTTTTGAAGTATTCGGACTCGGACGTGAGTTTTTGTATTTCGAGTCCGATCTATTCAACTTTTAACACAAATGAGCAGAGAAAAATGAAAAGCGAAATAACAACACCTACTGTTTCACATGAAACTGAAATTTTGTTCGGGAGACGGACATGGAACGTAACTTTATTGTCGAAAAATCAAATATCTATCCAGGGCTCAGCAAATTAAAATATAAACCACCTTCATCAAAAAAGAATCTACAAGATTACCAGACTCGAAATGGACTCGGACTCGGTTTGAACTTGTAAGAACTCGGACTCGTCTCGAACTCGTTACCCGTCGAACTCGGGCTCGCCCATGCCTGTTTCGTACTACTGTTATTTCTTCTTTCATTTTTAGTAGTCGTCCTTAAATTCACCTACATAGTCGATTTTTAGTGTCTCTGACGCATCTTGTTCTTAAAAATTATTAATAACCATATACTGTTGCAAACACTTTAGGCGGATTTAGAACTGTCGATTTTTGTTAAGGGCAATTGGTCTATTACTATCGGTGTCAAAATACAATATGATCCTCTTCATTTTAGACTGTTTAGACGTAACATTAAATTTGCTGAACGTCGAAATCTTAGACACTTCTTAAAATTATCTCACTAAGACCTTATCGTTTAAAATCTTAATAAGATGTAATGACTCTACTTTCATTCACCATGGTTGGACACCCGAAAATATGAAATTTCTCTTCATTCTTCAACACTGTTTAACTGCTGCTTAATGCGGATTAAAAATTCAAAAATTCTCAGTGAATCTTAAATGAATATTATTAAAAAAACGTTCTTACTATTAAGATCTTAACAGATTCTTATCCAATCTTGAAAAAATCTTAGACAATATAATTTTAGTAAGATCTCACTAAGATCGTAGCAAAATCTTATCAAATCTTAAAATTATTTCATATCTTAATTAGACTATTCTAAGACCTTACTAAGATTCGAGTAAGTTTCTCACTAGTATCGCGTAGAATCTCACGAGGAATAGAAGTCAAATACTAGGAGAGTTATAAAACTGAATACCTTGTCCAGGTAGTGCGTATCTCAGATAGTCCATTGAGTTGGAACCATCTATAAAAAGCTAATTTTCTAGTAGCTTTTCGCTAGAAACAAAGAACAGAATTTCAGTTATGTGGAGAGTACTCTCTTATATCCTCCTGATATTTGGAAGCCTGTCACAAGGTGCGATCAAAAACTGATTTTATTTCAAACTCTTTGCAGCAATGGCACGGAACTATATCATCTATAGCGCAACTAAGAATCTATGCCTTACGTGATTCCGGAGCAGCTTTTAGAATCTAATATGTTGAATTTTGCGGAACTTATTAGAAATAACTCCACCTAAAATGCAATAATTTTTAAAACATCGAATGTGTAGATGAATTTGAGTACGGCTACTAAAAATTAAAGAAGAAATAACAGTAGTACGAAATCATAAATGCTTATTTTCTAAACGGTGTTATACCCAAGGCTGACGACACACATGCACACGTTTTTCATTTTATCTAGCCATTTGAATTTGTAAAATGATACGTTTTTTCTTTTTGCATTCATGTGGTGTATTTCTCATCCCATTTTTTCCTTTAACTCCACCTAGAAATAATAATAACAAGCGTATCAGGCAAAATATTTTGATCTTCTAACAAAGTCAACTGAATTAAAATCAAAGTCGATGAGAAGCCTATTTGGAATCATTGACGATAGTGGTGAAGTGCAAAGAAAGAGAAGTCAAATACTGAAAAACTAGGATCATGATGACGAAATGTTGCTGAGCTATAAGCGACCAAAAGAAAGGCATACGTACATAGTTTTATAAGATACTGCCTATAAACTTTCGTTTTTCGAGTGCTCGGAGTGATAAGGAGAAGCAGACTTGAGCTAATAGTGTAATTGGGATATTTGACACAGTGCTAGGCTTCTTTACTGAATAAAACTTTGAAGAGGAACCCGTACTAGCTATCAATGTTCGAAGATACACATCATCTACCAGTCACGTATTACATTCTCTTAGACTACGTGATACTTTCATTTCCCATAAGTCATGATCTGCCTTGTATTGAAAGCGTATGTTTTACCACAGTAGGTCAAAAATTCTCTCAGACCATGTTGAACAAATCGTTATTGAATATTCTCATGGTCAAACACAATATTTATAAACGGCATCTGTAGAAAAAGACGATAAAAAAGCCGACAGAGTATTTTCATAATTGAATCTATTGCCAAAACAACACTGATGACACTTGTAACTTAAAGGAATTTTTTGTTTTCTTGAGTACATACAGTCAATTTTTCAGAAGTAGGGGTATGAACTGTTACTGTCGTTTTCAAATTATAAGAGCTCTGATTGTTTCTTAAATACCTTCTGAGCAAAACATGATAGAGACTTGCAGTTTTCGCCATTCAATAGCCACGACTTTAAAACATCTTTTCAGAGGTAAGAAGTTCATAATCCGATAATTTAACATAGCAATATATTAGTTTTTTTCATTGGTAGATAGCCTAAAGTGTTCTCCATAAAACGGGATCTAGACGACCTTTTCATTTTTCGCGGTTTAGACGCGGCATCGGATTTCCTAGAAGCCCCATTTCTTTAGGTGTTGTAATCCTAGGAACGAATGGAAACATAGGTTATCGACCACGGTGAATCTCGTAACAACGGTTCTTTTTCGAAAAGTTCCAGAAACCCATTAAAAACCTTTATTAGATAAAATAACCCATTTTTGCGTATTTCTTAAAACTTTTACTTAAGAGCCGGAAAAATGCCAGTTTTGTAGTTTTCTTCATTTTGTTTTTGTTTCCAGTGCCTTCAATTTTACTTAAACTTACGAGGGGACCTCACGAACTGCTACATCGCTTTCTCAGCCAAACCTAGTGAATTATAGGTTATCAACTATGCTGAATTCGAATATCATAGTGGTAGCTGCCCAGGAGCCTTCCGAGAGCGGTTTTCCGGAAAACCAGTTTTTCAGAAACTCTAAAATGTAACTAAAACCTTTCTTAATGAGGTATGATTGTAGCCCGCAAATTTCTGATTAAAATGAGACATCTCCCAGCTCTACATGACCTTTCTTTGCAAAGTTATAGATCTTACAAAAAAAGCCCTAAATTAATTTCATCTTATTTCTGTAGCTTTGAGCTGACAGTGAACATTTAGGGCTTTTCTTGTAAGATCTGTAATTTTGCAAAGAAAGGTCATGTAGAGGTAGAAGATGTCTCATTTTGGTCAGAATTTCATGGGCTACAGTCGTGATGTATTAAGAGAAAGTTTTAGGGACTTTACGAGGTTTCTGAAAAACTGGTTTTGGCCGAGGAAACCGCTCTCGAAAAGGCCCTGGGCTGCTATCACTATGATATTTGAATTCAGCATAGTTGATAACCTATAACTCACTAGGTTTGGCTGAAAAAGCAATGTGACAGTTCGCGAGGTCCTCTCGTCAGAGCGTTTAGCGTAATCGTCGTATATCACCATTTTTGACAGTTATTTCATCCTGAATGCTTTATTATTTTTCTTAAATTAATTTAAGTTCTTGTTCATTCATTTTTCACACACGTTTTCATAGAAAAAACAACAACCGGAAAACACCAAAAGAAAAAATACATATCCACGGGTATATCTTTGTACAACTTACATATTAGTTAAGTTTTAAAGTAAAATAACTTAACTTAAAATTAAAAGCAAGAAAATAATGCACATAAATAACTGAACTACTGTGTATATTTAATTAAACACACACACATGAAAACAGAAGTAATCGTAACAAACTCCTGTTCCAAAAAAGGATTTCATTGCATTAACGCAAATAAATACATAAGGAGAGAATTACATCTGAACAAAAATATTTTATATCTAATAGGAGTTGCACATTACTTTTTAGTAGTAAGAAAGTAACAATAGTGACAGATAAATTTTTGTTACTATCTAACAAATAACAAGTAATGTGCTATTCCTAATATCTGACAAGCAAAAAAAAATAATTTTGATATGAACAAATAGCGTTTTATAAACACTTCTCTTTTGGACGTTGAATACCGGTAGAACTATAAAATGAACGAAAAAAATATAAATAAATTTATAATCAATAAAAATTATTTGCTTATTGTAAAACAGGATGAAATAAGCAACAAACAAAAAAGAAAAAACACAGGTGTTTCATATTGCAAAACAGAATAGAACGTTTTTGTTGAATGCAAAAGATATTTTAATAGAATCCATCGCGAATATTTGAAAACTGTTTAAACGAAAATTTAGATAACCTAATTGTTTTTGTATCAAAATAATTTTTCATTCAATGACCAACTGATCAAAGAAAAAAAACTCGCTTCATCAATGAATACCTCAACAAACATCTGACAAAAAACTGTTTAGGAATAAGAGTATGAATACGAAATGAAATCCGATTGTAATTTAGTATAACAATCGAGAAATTTACAATATTTGACAAGAAAAAACAGAGTATTAAAAAGTAAAAATGCATTAATCTGACATTCAACTATCAAATAACATCAAATTAGTTAACTCTTTTTCGAGACCAATCGATTGCAAAGCCAATATGAGATATTCTCCTAGATAAGCCATATCAGTACTTTCATATCTTCTCGAATATTCAAAACATTTCTTGAGTAATTCATCAAATAAATCATAGAATATTTTATTATCCCATACTGACTGATTCATAAGTAAGTGCTGTTGAACTAATTCATAGTATCTATTCATCATCTGATTCATTTGACCAACATTTTGATGAAAAACCACACGATATAAATTTTCATTACCATTTGTATTGTTCAAAAAATTAATCATTAACTGATGCCAAATTGTTTCTGGAATAAGAGGTTTTTTGTCTATTGATGATGACGTTTCTCCAAATACTTTTTGATTAATTGATAACCAATGGTGAAGAATTTCGACGAAAGATAACTTGAAAATATTAACGTGAGAAATTTCGACATCAGGTTCTTGCCTTTTCATTAACAAAAATGATAGAGGTGTGGATGGTAGTGACCTGACAAAAGAAACAAATATTAATCCTAGACTTTTCGTATAAATATTAACTGTCTTTTTGTGAAAATCACGTCTAAAACAAAATCAGATGAGTGATGAGTCGTATGTCAGAGTCAGCTTTTATAATATTCGTATATAAATATTATATAAAATATTCGACAGGATACCGGATTATCCTATTACAAATCACAAATGTTAGACGATCGTTTCTCCTAATCTTAAAAATGACTAATGAGGAAACCCATCTAAGTGATACCTTCCGATTTCGTTCGTTTATACGTCGATCGATAGAGGGTATCGAACTAGTAAAAAGCCTAAAAGGAGTTTTCTCCATCGCTCTTGAAGACCCGGTTTTCTGAGAAACCAGTTTTTCAGAAACTCTAAAAAATAACCAAAACCTTTCTTAATGAGGCATGATTGTAGCCCGTAAATTTCTGATCAAAATGAGACATCTCCCAGCTCTACATGATCTTTCTTTGTAAAGTTATAGATCTTACAACAAAAGCCGTAAATTAATTTCTTCTTATTTCTGTAGCTCTGAGCTGACAATGAACATTTACGGCTTTTCTTGTAAATTCTATAACTTTGTAAAGAAAGATCGTGTAGAGCTGGGAGATGTCTCATTTTAACCGGAAATTTACGAGCTACAATCATGCCTTATTTAGAAAGGTTTTAGTTATTTTTTAGAGTTTCTGAAAAATCAGTTTTTCAGAAAATCGGGTCTTCAAGAGTCATGGGGAAAAATCCTTTTAGGCTTTTTAGTAGTTCGATACCCTCTATCGATTGACGTATAAACGAACGAAATCGGAAGATATCACTCGGATAGGTTTCCTCGTGAGTGATTCGATAAGTGATTTTCTCATTCTTTAAACACCACCTTTGATAACTACTGTTAATCAATCTCTTATACTATTTCAGCTAGGTTTACTTACTCATTTGTAACAATGGAATTTATTGTTGACATTTTTCTAAGAAAAATTATACAATTTTCCGTATAAACTGGTATTAATACTTTAAATTTTAATTGTTTTTGCTCAACTAATTTTTCTAATGCATTTTTCATTGCTCTTTCCACAACAATATATTCTGTTTTATTGATTGAATCTGTTGATTTAGATTGATTGAGATTATATTGTCGAACATCACATAGTTGTAAACCAAATAACCATGGAAAACTAAGAATACGTTGACGAGCTTTTGTTGACATTTTTTGTGCACGTTCATAACATATAACATAACAAGCGGATGCTTTGGCTAATTTTAATTCATGACAAGCATGACATTCATGATCTTGCGTACAATCACCGGGATGTAATGAATGTTCTAACGAATGCTGTAACGAAGATTCTAAATAAAGGAAAGTGCTTGTTAGAAAATGCTCTAATTATTTTTCTTTTAAATTTGAACCGTAATACAAACATAATTGACCGTAAGATTCTATTAACCGTATCGAAGCCATTTTTCGAAAGTCTCGTTAGACTTCTAAGCTGGCAAGAAACTGTTAGACTTTTACGAAGCAGGAGAGTTTTTCATATTGTTCTCTTTCTATCAGAACAAAATACATGCGAATACATTTAGTAGTTCTTCGATATCAGTAGCCTACACGCAATAACTTGATATATCTGGTGACAATGAGCCGAAAGTAGAATTGATTTCTGTAATAATCGAACAAACGGATCGCAAAAGAATGATAAAGGTTCACAAATATAGTGTTAGGAGTGCTCATCAGGAACTTCCTCAATAGTTAAATGAAAAAATCTATGTTCGTTCGCTGATAAGATCGGCTATATCATGGCTCACTTGTCTATAAAATTCTCTATCCGACTCAAGTTCTCAGAAAGTTTAAAAGTTTAAAGTAGTTCTTAGATTTCTCAGAAGTCTAAATGAATCTTCAACTATTAGACGTATGAAAAGAAAATACTTTTACCTGTTTTCTCATTATTTTTTACTTGTACTTGATCGAATTCATGAAAAAATTCTTTTCTTATGCGAGTGATGAGATGTTCAAGCTCATATTGTGCACTTAATTCTAGATCCATGTGTCCTGAACTTTGTTCTATTGCTTCACATCGACAAAAGAGATCAATTTCGTCTTGAAAATGATATACACTAATTATATTTAATAATTCGAATCGATATATGGAAAACAGTTGTTGAGCTTGATGACGATATTTTGCGTATGACTTATGAATGAGTGTTTGATCGAGATTTAATGGCACCGGTAGTGATTCATCAGATTCCGTTTGACGAATAGCAGCGACAAAAGCAGAACGAAAACGTTGACTACAATGATTTGTTGTGGCTCGTTTCCAGCTTGGTAGAGCGCGTAGCGCCGATCGATAAAGTTTACCTAAAATTATTGAAAAACTTTTTTTTGAATACAGCTAGCAAATAATCATTATTTCTAACAAAAAAATAAAATATTGAATCCTCTGTGCGTATTCTATAATCGCCAGAAAAACAAAAGGTTTGAAGAATCAAAGAGCTTTTAAAGTAGCATCACCCACTCTGAACTTGTTCATCTACATACCAAGTATATTTGGCGATGGATATGCCTTATAGTTTTGTTTCATCATAAAATCGGGATATTCATAATTTAATCGTGAACGATACTCAAACATTTGTTCATCACTCACTGGATGTATACCCGTCTTCGGAGAATCCAATTCTTGACTAATGAAACCAGCCAATTTAATACAAACCTTCGAATTGATACCATATTTATCACTTAAAGATAGATGAAGATTACTTAATTCACCGGTAGAATTTTCTTGTGCAATATTAAGAACAATATCGATGATATCCGCACGTGTTATATGAGATTTTTTTTCTGACGGTTTATTCTGACTGTCATAATCGTATGCTGGTTGATTTGGAGTAGTAGGAATTAAATCACTATCCCAAATAACAACGTACTCATCACCGTCTAAATCGGATCCACTTATTTCGTTTGGATGTGGACGTACACCTAAAGATAAAAATCCGAATAAAATAGTCAAATCAACGAACAACTACGACAACAAAAAATAAGACAAACCTTTTTGTGGAAAAACGACAACATCCTTTAAATGGCGAAGTTCCGGATGATCAATAGCCACAAACGTTCGAATATCCCCAGGATGATGGCATGGATTTTTTGTAATAACAACTAACACATTGTTTAAAATTTCTGTTTGATATTTTTGTGTTGGACGTTGTTCGTATAGTTTCTCATTTTCCAAATGAGTAAATTGGATGAAAACTTGTCCATAATCAAGTACACCATATTCATCTACGACACCGAACATATTTCGACCTTTTGATTTTGGAATACGGATGCGTGATTGTGACGCAAATTTACCGACACATGAATGAGCGGTAATAGTTAACAATTGTAAGAAAAATGGTTCTTCAACAATATTAAATTTTTGAGCTAATTCACGAAAACGAAAAACATTAATCACTTTTTCGTTTAGTAGTTCAAATGCACCGGATGATGAGAGTAATGATTGAACGAGCCAAAGATGATTTTCATTTTGTAACGTTAGAAATTTTGAATCATGAACATTACGATTAGATAGAAGCACAATAACTTGACGATTTAAATGAAGCGGACCTAAAGAAGAACAAAAAAAAAAAAAGAAAGTATGGCAAATGTCATGAACATAAAAACCAACACGACTAATATTTTTAGCAGATTCAATATAAACAATAACTTACGTGGTGCTGATAATTTACACACTTCTAAAGTATCATGATCACTGGTAAACTTTCTCATACTATCACGTATAATTAACTGATGTTGTTGATTATCAAGCTTTGGATCAACTGAAACAGTTCCCTTGCAACCGCCATAACGTATTTGTAAAACACTTGATGGAAAACGTTTTTTCATACATATTTGTATCTGAAATGATGAGAAAAATAACAATTTCTAATTTAAAAATCTTTCATAATATTTGACGATGTTATTAACTTGAGCATTTAATGTAGACGATATAGCCCCAACACCATCTGTAAAATTATATTTTCCGTTTTCACTTTTAATATCACGAATATATGTCACTAATTCAGCACCAATCTAAATAAAACGATTAACATTATTGTTTTAGTACTCGGATTCAAAATCTATGATAAAAATAATTCTCATCCCAATCATCTTTACTACTCACGAGGGATCTTTTCACTTTCTGGTCGAAACCTAGTGGGTTATAGGTTATCGACCACGTTGATTCCGAATATCCATATGAGACGGGCCCCTAGGCCTTCTTAAAATGGTTTTCTAGAAACCTCGAAAAGTCTCTTAAACTTTCTCTTCATACATAGCCCACAAAATTCTGATCAAAATGGGACATCTTCCAGCTCTACATGACCTTTCTTTGCAAAGTTATAGATCTTACAACAAAAGCCCTAAATTAATTTCATCTTATTTCTGTAGCCTTGAGCTGACAATGAATATTTAGGGCTTTTCCTGTAAATCCTATAATTTTGCAAAGAAAGGTCATGTAGAGGTAGGAGATGTCTCATTTTGATCAGAATTTCATGGGCTACAATCGTGATGTATTAGGAGAAAGTTTTAGGGGCTTTACGAGATTTCTGAAAAAACTGGTTTTCCAAAACACCGCCCTAAGAAGGACTAGCGGCTCGTCTCATACGGATATTCGAAATCAGCGTGGTCGATAACCTATAACCCATTAGGTTTCGAGCAGAAAGCGATTAGACAGTTGGAAAAGGTCCCTCGTTAGTCTGAAGGATTGATTTCAAGGTTGGCTACCATTGACTTCTACAACATAAATAGTAAATAACATACTTTTATTGTTGGACTTGTACTAGTAAAACATAACGCAATTCTTGCTGAATGCTTGGCCACTACCTTTTCGTTATCAAAATTACCCATCCACGAGTAGGCAGCTTCAATAGATATTCCACCACATTGTTGTTCATCACAATAAGACCAGAATTGTTTATCTTTCACCTGTGATTGTGAATGATGTAAATATTTGTATTGATATTCAACAATTCGAAATCCTTTTGTTAGATAGTTGTTTAAAACTTCTCGAATATCTAAAAATGTTTGTTTATACAATGGTTTATTTGCTTCATCTCTCAATTCAACTAGTGCAAAATTCATTTTTGATCCAAACAATTCTTCACGTAATATACGATTTGTTTTACATAACTTGATTGGCTTAGTACAAATTGTTGTCGGTGTTATTGTAACAGAATATATATACAAATGATTTGGTTTTGGTGATGTATTTAACGATGGCATTTGTATCCCAGATAAAAACGATCGTTCCAATTTATTTTTATATTCTTTTATACCAGCAGTTAATTCGCCCATCAAATCGGCAAAATGAGATTCCGATAAACGACAGTGCAGGTACATACAAAGACAATAGAAACGATCATCTAAATTAATCTAATCAACGAAAAATATTATATTAAGTGTCTGTTTCAAACAAGTTTCTTCTGTTTATTTACCTCATAATCTTTATTTTTTTGACACGCTATTTGTTTCATTTGTTCACAAAATAGTTGACTTTGATATATGTTGTACTGAACTCTATAACCAATATCGTTTAACATTTGAAAGGCATATGTTTGAAGACGTGTAGGAAATAAAATCGACGAACAATTGGTGATTCCATCTTTATTTTGAATTGCAGCAAAACACACCTGAATTGTATTTGAATAAAAAAAATTTAGCAAATGTTTGAATAATTCTTTGATTTGTGCGAATGATTCTTGTTTAATCAGATCGAAATGTTGTTCATGTCTAGTATTATTATTATTTTTTCTATTTTTAAAATATTCTTGACTCATTTCATCAGCTTTACAGGATACGGTGAGACGGGTTGTTGAAAATGTTGGCATCAATCGTGAAATACGACGACGAGCTGATGTCTGGGACGTTGTCGCCTTTGGTTGATGATTACCTAAAATAAACCTTTTAACTTCTAAAAATTTAAAAAACTTTGAAAATTTCTTCCAGTTTTGACTACTTTTTACGATTGTGAATTTATTTAATAATATAATCGATCCTTAGTTATCAGTACAAGTCTTCATGTTACTTATTTGACAAGACCCAACAGATATCATCCTCTGACAAAAACTTAGTAAAGAACATCGGATATGCAAATCTTTATCAAAGTTCAATTGTGCACGTCTCAAGTTTGGAGAAAATTGTTTAGCAATCATTACTTTAATAGCACTTTTTAGCATACCATTTTTACTATTGTTGTTATTTGTATATGTTGTTGATTCATATTCGTGTACATTGCCTCTCATACATAAATAAAGGGTAAAAGAATTTTGCTCTAATTTAAAAATGGCTGTTCGATCAATTAATTCCACGGGAATTTGTTTAATTACTCTTTTACAAAGTCGATTGTTTTGAATTACTATTTCAAATTTTCGTTGATAAAATGCTATATACCATTTCGATTTCTTTTTCAGTACATATTTGGGATGTTCAACGTAATGCGTTTGAGATATTAAAGCGCCATATGATAGTTCTAGATGGATTGTTTCTTTAAAGGAAACAGCACCTAGTTTCGTATGCGATTTTATTATTGTTGACTCAGGCATTGAACTAGTATAGAAAGAGAAAATTTAAAAGTGAGCGAGCTCAATGATAAAGGTTAACTTCTAATGTGATTGTATAAATTTCAAACTGAATGACTGATATAAAAAACTAACAACTAATAATACGCTGGTATTTATGAATTGTCGTGAATGGATTTGAGAAAGCCAAATACTCTTAGCATTTTCCTTTTCATTGTTTCTATCATTATTAAGTAAATTAAACATTAAATATACCTTTTCGTTTCATTGAAATATGTGTCAATAAATTTTGGCTGATCTTTGATCATAAACCAGTAGTGATCGTTTTTCATCCATTTAGTTAACTCTTGAATTGGAAACGTTGGATATTCTAAATCATCAACATTGATTGGCATACGTGGACAAAATTTTGTTTGTATTGGTAAAAATTGAATTTTATATTTCCATAAATTAAAATGCCATATATCAGGATATGTGTTTAACCCTGTATAGGCTAAACGTTTTGATTTTAATAAGACACAAGCTTTTTCATACCCTTTACATGTTTTCAAATCATCACTATTAATTATAATTGATAAATCGCGAATTTTAAATGAAAAATCAATTGATTGAACATCTACAGAACATTGACGAGTCGTTAGAGCAGCTGTTGTAAAAGTGTAGTTATTTTTAAAAATTGGTGATATTTTTGATTCGTACGTTAGCCCTGTTTTAGTTACAGGCCAATGAGGTGGTGGAGGTGATCTCCGATCATTTAAATAGCCATTTGATGTTGGATGAGAAAAATTTGATTTGGATTCATTGTTTATATCTAGAGATGTAACCGAACGACGATAAATTCCCCGTCCACGTGATATACTTGCGGGCTAGAAAGGAAAAGCAGATGCTATTAGAATTAAAATAAAAGAAATAGAAATATTAATTCAGCTGAATAGCAATGAAAACCTAAAAGAATTATCCTTCTAGAAAAAACATACCTCGACAAATTTGCAAACGGAGTCAGCGCGTCGTTGCATCGATGGATTTTGTTGATCAATTCGTGTTGAATCTCGTTTGTGGTGATTGTAAAGTGTAAGAATCGATGAGGATGTGTAATCAGAATCTGAGATGCATTTGTGAGATTGTTCAAGACTTCGTTCATCATATCCTTCTTCATAAAAATTATCTTCATTATCTTCTTTTGCAATTGCATTATTATTGATATCAAGTTCTTCGTTCTCATGTTGATCTTCGTCTGTACCAGATGATGAACGACGACTTAATAGATGTAACACTGCACGTGCATCGTTGTTCATAATTTCCTATAATGAAACAGACATGAACATAAGACATTGACTATTTGATATTTTATTCTTACTTTCTTTAACGAAAAAAATCTGTCCTAATGAGATGATTTTGAAAAGAAACCATCTGGAATCTAACTTTTGCGTTCCTCATATCAAAACAAAATAAAATCTAAAATAATTCCAATAAACACTCAAAAATAAAATAAAACAAAAAAACACTCTGAATAAAAAAATATATAATCAAACTATAATATTTATTATCATTCAAAACTAAAATCAACAACATTAAAAAATGAGAATGACGCACGATACTACTGGCCACTGCACATATTCTGCTTCTCTCCATTAAGTATCCCTTTTCATTCTACAAGAAATGATTCATCCTTTAACATAAACTGTATCTAGTAGCTTTCACTCAACAACCGTTGAGACAAATGTGAAAAGCACCATACTTATGGTTCGATCTTGAGAAGTGGTCATCCATCCTCTTAATACTAATCGTAGGTTTGACACAACAGAGAAAGACATTACGTCACAATGCTCTATTTTGTAGTGACTAATCCCATAATGATGGTTTGATCGTTAGAAGTGATCAACATGTGGTCATGTTTTTCTTTACTCTGATTTTCTATAGACCTTGCTTATTTAAACCATACTGAAAAACATAAAGAAAAGTCATTTTTGCCTTTATGGTCCGAGGACTGACGACAGAAAAGTGAAAACTGAGTCAGATTAATAGCAGATGCATATTGAGATAAGCTCCGAAAAAATTCATTGGATAAATAATTTAAATTAAATGAAGATTCTAATTAGAAATTGTTTGTCGTCTTCGGTTTTTTCTGGAAATAGTTGGTTTTCGAGAAAAATCAATTTTACTAATGTAAAGAGCGCCTATTGCCATAAAATTGATTTTTCTCGAAAACCAACTATTTCCGGAAAAAACCGAAGACGACAAACAATTTCTAATTAGAATCTTCATTTAATTTAAATTATTATCCAATGAATGTCATTGGAGATGATCTATAATTTAAGCACATAATCCACTATTAAAAGGATGACTCATCACCTATCAGTTCATATACCATTAATAGCAGGTTTTTCCTTTTCGCCGCTCCTTTACAATGTATATTAAATAACGGAGGCAAAGTCTCGCGGTGACTGCAAAAAAGTTCAAAATTCTGTACTATTCATTGCAAATAGAAGATAAAATAACCTTCTGGACATTGTGAATTTCCAACGAATGTTACATACTGGAGGTCTCCTGTAAAACGGGCGTGTTAAAAACTCTGTTAAAAAGCACTGTTCGTCTTTTTCAAGGTACGGGTTCTTATAAAACAAAAATTCATTTACAAATTGGGTGCAAAAAATTTATTTGCATCATTTAATCTTACGCCTGTGCTTGTTAAAAGGAATAGAAATAAAAAATTTTAGAAGTGCGAGAGAACCGCAAGTACAGTGGGATTTAGAAATGTTCGGTTCTAGGTTCGCATGAAGAACCGGAACTGCGGTTTCTCTCGTTTCGATTCTAACTCGAGAACCGAGAACAGAACATCCCTAGTGGGAATTATGCTCCCACAGCTTTCAGATTATAAAAAAGTGTAGGAACAGGATAATGAGCGGTCCCCACAACTTTAAGGATTTATTTCTTTGAACTTGTCATATAACAGCGGTATCCTTCGTATGTTTGACTGCTTTTTCTCCGTTTATTACAGGCGTATATTTGATGAAATACCAAGAAACAAGGGTTGAATTCTTATTCGTCTCTGATCACTCACACTAACTTTAATGCCGGTGTGTCAAAGTAGATAAAAGTAAATGATTTTATGCTTAAGTATCAGAAAAATATAATGTTTACGTTTGTAATGAAAAAATATTAATTAGTAACATCAGAGAAACAGAAGTTGATATGAAAAATCTTTAAAATCACGGTTTTGGGTTATACCCAAACAGGGCCGTAGCCAGAAATTTGGTAAGGGGTGGGCATCCACAAAAAAGTTCCATCGTTACTAGTCTGAATTTCCATGTTAAAGCTAGGTCGAGCACTTTTTCTTGCGTTTTATCTCCATGCGGCATTTATCACCTATAAATTTAGTATATATTATACATTGAAGTAAAATCTCAAGGGGTGGGCACGTGCCCTGTTTGCCTACCCCCTGTACCCGAACAAAGACATTTCATTGAACGTTAAAGATGTCGAGTTCAATGCATGAAATAATATGAGATGTTCAAAAGAATAACATTTTCCTTAGTCACATAGCCAATGGATTGAGATGAATGCCGTACAAATGCTAACAAAATCGTGGCTATGCCACTAATTTTTCTATGACTCAGTAATGTAGCAGGTTTTGTTTTGTGAGTTTTTTTGACAGTAATATTAATATTATATATAGTAGTCTGTGGACAACTACTGAACAACCAAAAAAAGCGTTAACGAAAAGTCCAATCATTTACAGATTATTTTATTTTTTTCTGAAAACAATTCATTGGATGAAAGTTACAAATCTGAACAAGAATCATATGGGACTTCATTTCCTGTTTTTTGTTTATATGCTCTATTATATTTACCAAGATATTCTTGATTTGATATCTAAGGGGTCGCTAGTTTCCAGAGGTTGTGTACGTATAAAATAATAAATATGTTTGTGGGTCAAGATAAGCCTTCATTAAACATTCGTTTATTCAGTACCAGTATCAATGTGATTGACGTTGGCACTGGCGATCAACGAAAGCTTATCTTGACCATTTTTGTAACTGTAATAGGCTGCAAAAAACAGAAAGAAAGGAACTGAAATCTCATTTGATTCTTGTCTAAAGTTGTAATTATCATCCAATCAATTAGTTTTAGAACAAAATGCGCAGGAAAAGCCGAACCTATTGTATGCCAGATTTTTGAAACTTTATAATAGTTGCACAATCCATATTTGCAGTTCTTTAGTGTGATTTTTAGTAGGGCTGCTACATTACTATTGCTAGTAATAAGTAATAACAACGGTATTATTACTTATTACTTGGTAATAAGTAATAAATTTCAAAAGTAATAAAAGTAATAAGTAATAACAACGGTATTATTACTTATTACTTGGTAATAAGTAATAAATTTCAAAAGTAATAAAAGTAATAAGTAATAACTACAAAAAGTAATGAAAGTAATAAAAAAGTAATAAAGTAATAAGAAAATAAAAAGACGGTAGAAAATACTTTGGGTAAATGGTTTTCAGTTGGATTTCGGTGAGGGTGCACAACTTTTCATAACAATAAAAATTGTCTGTGAATACTGAAACCTACAGAATATTGATAATCTATTATAATGAATACGTCAGAGATGGTTCCAGATTCTTTGGAATTTCTAGAGGACGTCTAGAAAACTGTTTAGATTTATATTAGATTCAACACTTTTTACATACAATTTGAGAAATTCGCAGTATTCCTCACAACTTATTACTCGTTATTACTTATTACTTTTATTACTTGAAGCTTTTATTACTTATTACTAATAACATTACTCCTTATTACTACTAGTAATAAGTAATAAAATAAAAGTTTCAACTTTATCCCTTACTACTAGTACCAAGCACTTAAAGCCCGAATAGTATTAAAATGATAAATAATAAAGCAATTCGTGATGAAAAATAATAAGTAATAAAAGTAATAATAATTATTACTTATTACCGAGTAATAGTAATAAAAAGTAATAGTAATGTAGCAGCCCTAAT